TCAGGGATGGAGCTTGGATGGGGTTCTCCAAAATGCTGAAGGACTTGGACATTGTTTACATGTGTAGGAGACATGCTGGCAGCAGTGAGAAGCCGGACACGTCCCCATGGGGTGCAGTGTGTTGCAACATGCAGCAGTCTATTTGTTTTGAAGGGGAGGAAAGAGTACGAAACGTGGCTTTGAATTTTTCTCATTGTTTTCTAGTTATGTCTAGGGTTGCCAGGTGTCCAGTATTGACCTGGACAGTCCAGTATTTTCGCCTCCTGGCTGGTAAAAAAATTCAGAAAATACCGGACACCTAAAATGTCTGGTATTTTCTGATTTTTTTTTTTCCCAGCCAACAGGCTAAAATGTCTGGTATTTTCTGATTTTTTTTTCCCAGCCAACAGGTGAAAATACCAGACACCTGAAAACCCTATGACACACTCGGCAACTGGGTCCAGTCCCCGGCCTTCCCCCCTACCTCAGGCCCCCAACACCTCCAGCCCCCGGACAGCCTTCTTACCTGGCTCCGCAGGGAAGCTGCGTTCTGGCTTGATCAAGAAAACAAAATGGCCGCTGGCAAAAAGCCTAAAGACCAAGGGGAAGCAATGCCTTCCCTGGGTCTTAGTGCTCAACCTCTCCCCTGTTCCTATCCCTATTCTGACTCTGCAAGCACTCTGAAAGGGGCCATGCTTTTTTATTATTTACTTTTTTTTTTTTACTTTGGGGGGGGTCGGTAATTTGGTTAAACCACCTGGCAACCCTAGTTAGGTCAACTACGCTTTGTTTTCCTAACTGTAACACATGCATTTGAAAGCCTGAACTTGAAAGCAATTTAATACCAGCATTCTTCCAAGTGTTGGACCAGCTGATCCCTCCCAAAGCTTGGAGCTGTTAAGACCTGGCATGTGGGTTGGAGGCCCTTCGGTAGGTTTTAACAAGCTTTGCACTGAAGCTGAGACTGGCTCCCAGAAAGTGTTGGAGCAGGAGAACAATAGACAAAGTAGATTAGAACCTCGTTAATTCTCCCTTTGTTTATCTGCTAATCCAATAATTCACACACACACACACACACACACACACACACACACACGAAAACTAAACAGCAGCAATGTCCTCTCTGCACTTGTCAGCAAAGATTTAACGACAGAGAGACTTCGCGACTGAACGCATTCTATTACTAAGACCTCTGTACTTTTACGAAATATACTTCAGTATATTTAATGGTGTACTATGATGGATTATTACAAATAATTAACACCAACAGGCGCTTGTCAAAATACAGGATCCATGTGCATTTAGTAATCCAATACCTCTTTTAGATATGGCTCAACTGTGGTGGTAGAACTGAGTGCATGGTAGGAGGTGATATGGCATTTAGCATCCCAGTGTGAGCTCCTAGAAGCATTGTGTCTTCAGTATTCCCAGTGAAGAGCAGGGGTGGGGAATAATTTTTGGTGGGTGGTCAAAATATGGCTGCACTTTTCTGTGGAGGAGATGTGGGGTCTAGAATAGAGGTTGGGTGCAGAAGGATGCATGAGGTAAGGGACTGGAATGCAGGAGATACTGTGAGGTCTGAGAAGGAGTTTGCGTGAAGGGGGGGTTGTGACCTGGGGCACGGGATTCGGGTTCAGGGTCTGGGAAGGTGTTTGGGAGCAGAAGAGGATTCAGGCCTGGGGGCGGGGTGTAGGAGGGGGTGCAAGGTCTGGGAGGGAGTTGTGTCCTGGGTCACGGGGATGCAGAGGGCTTGGATGGTGACCTGGGGGAGGGAGTTGGGGTGCAGGAGGAGCAAGGGTGCCAGAGGCAGGCTCTGGCTTGGAGGCACTTACCTAAGCATTTCCCGGCCAGCAGCCCTGCAGCACCCCCAACACAGACTGGGCTCCCTGCATGCTGCTCCCTTCATGTGGCTCTCAGCTCCGGGAGGGAGGAGAGGCTTGTGCTGCCCCCATCTCCAAGGCCAGTCTTTCATCTCCTATTGACTGGCTGTTTTTGGCCAATAAGAGCTGACAGATTGACTGGAGTCAGTTCCTGTTGGCTGGTTGTCTCTGGCCAACAGTTGGGGGTGGGGAGATCACACAAAGCTTCCCCTGCCTCCCAGAGTAGAGAGCTATATGGAGCCGCCCTGTACTGCTGCGTGTCTGAGGGTCCCAGCAGGGGAGTCTGCTGGCTGGATCCGGTGGCTTGGCAAGACGCATCTGGCCCACAAGAGGTACCTTGCCCATGCCTGACCTACAGTGTACAAAGGCTGTACCATCACTGAAAGCCACGGTCCTGAGCCCTTTGGACAGGATCCTTTCTTCCATGAAGCCCATGAGATTTTAGACCAGGGTGGGCAAAAGGGGTGGGCAGGCTGGATCCGGCCCGCCAGGCAGGGAACTGCGGCACTGTGTTCTACAGAACTTACATGTTGAGAGTCAAGCTGGGGAGAAGGAATGGGAGAGGGATTAGATCAAGGGAGGGCAAAAAGACCTTCATGGGCTGGATTTGGCCCACCAAGTGGGGGCGCCCCCCCCACGGCGCCCCTGCCACTCCTCCACCCCCAGGCCAATCAGGGCCTAGAGAGCGCAGAGTTTAGAGTCAACTCTTGTAGGAAGGGGGCAGGGTGGGAGGAGACTTTGTGCACTCTCCCTCCTCCAATCAGGGCTTGGGGGCGGGAGGGGGGGGTTAAGACGTGAAGTCTCCTCCCGCCCTGCAAGAGACACAGTGCTTCTAAGCACCACACGCTCCATGCAGGACAGGGGGAAGGGCGGGAGGAGATTTCGTGTGCTTCCCCCTCACCCTCAAGCCCTGATTGAGCTGGGGGTGAGGGGGGAGTGTGCAAAGTCTCCTGCCACAACCAAGGTTCAGAACAACTTGTGGTTCTCTCTGGGGGGGAGGGGCTGGGGCAAAGGCTTCATGTGCTCCCCACCCGCAGACCAATCAGGGTCTGCGAGTGGGATGCACGCAAGTGTCCTGGCCCCGCCCCTTCTGCCTGAGGCCTCGCCCCTTCTGAGGCAGCCCGGGGCCACCTCAAACATTTCTGAAGTGGCCCCCAGTCAAAAACTATTGCCCACCTCCATGTTAGATAACTAACACCAATGTGGCTGGAGCCTATTTAAGAACTGCCATTGTCTAGTGCTTGCTACATACATAAGTAGGGCGATTGGGCTTTTATCCCTTTCTGAAGCCTGGAATCGTGGACTGTCAACGGTTCAGGGCTGGCACTTGAGTGGGATTCTCCAAAATGCTGAAGCCCAATGGGGCTTGGGCAGCGAAGTCACTTAGACATTGTCTATGCTTGTTGGGTACACGTGGCTTCACGCTGGCTGCAGTGGGAAGCCAGCATGGGCATGGTCAGGAGGTAGCAGTTTTTGGATGCTGGTAGAATAACGACAGCAGAACTTCCCTCACACAGCTCTTGGACGCCCACCTTTGAAGACTAGAGTTGTGTCCAACTCTTATGTGCAGCTGAAGTCAGAAGGCCAGTGAACACCTCCACGTTCTGGCCCACGGTTTGCTGCTTATTCACGGGGAGTCTATGCCAAAGCTCAGTGACGCCAATGGGAATTTTTCCATTGGCCAAATTCCATGACTACGCTGAGTCCCCTAGTCAGGAATGAATGAGGTTCCGCTGAACTGCGCTCATTGTAGAGGACCAAACCTGGAAGGCTAAACTACATCCCGGCAAGGCTGCCTACAGAATAACCCCAGGTATTCTGGGGCATAAGGGACCCTTATAAGTGAGGAAAATTAATTGAGGGATGACACAGAGAAAGGATGACAAGCCCCCTTGAGGCCACAAACCCAGAAGGAACATGGATAATAATACTTAGCACTTTTAGGCAACTGGAAGTGTTCACAAAAATGAGTCATAGTCTCCTCTCTCTTGCCCCCATGTATAATTGGAGAATTAGTTAACTAGTCCAAGCTCCATGATGTTGGAGTGCATCATTATCCCTATTTTACAGGTGAGAGCACTGAGGCACAGAGAAGTTAAGAAACTTGCCCAAGGCCATGAGTTATGCTAATGCAGAATTTTGATCAGAAGGCAGGAGTTCCTGGCTCTTTGCTCAGCTCAAGTCACTAGACCAGTGTTTCTTAAACTTTTTAAGACCGAGGAACACCAAACAATATTTTTTTTTTATGAGGAACACCAAGGATTTTTTGTTGAGGAAAAAGAAAATAGGTTGGGGAGAAGTTATTGAGGTCTAAAAAGGGCCCGGGGAAAGTTATCGAGAAAAACGAAAAAGGTTGCCTGCCCCTTTAAGGGCGGCCATTTTGAATTCTGTTGTTCTCTGTGGCACACCTCCAACTGCTTTGTGGCACACTGGTGTGCCACGGAACACAGTTTCAGAAACACTGCACTAGACAATGCTGCTAGTTTTATATTGCAAGACTAGGCAGTGCAGGGTTAGTCTGAATAGATTTCCACTCCATTCGGTGACTTCCAAATATAGTTGAACACTGTATAGTGTCTGATTCTTCTCCTTTCCTGATTTTGCTCATATTCCATCCCTTCCTTTCCACCCCCTCCCCCCTCCCACATGGTGCTAAGCTTCCTTGAACCCTACATGGCTGACGTCCACAACCAACCCAACCCTCTCCAGACGCACATCTTACGTGGTGACATCTGCGAGGAGCCTCTGAGTGGCACCTCCTACAACCCCCGCTTCATTTTATCATGAGTAACTTCCTATTGGCACAGCTGAACACAGATCCCTTCCGGACCCCATTAAAACTCTCACATCAGCCAGCTGGTGACAAAGTTGCAATGACAAGACCCTTCTTCCCTAGTTCCAGAAGCAGAGGTGCCTCTTCTGTAACTGACCAGAATCTGGCTAATTCATGGAATGAAACAGTGTAGTTTCTCTAAGGGGCATATTTGTGAAAAGTATTTAAATCAAGTAGCCAGCAACCATCTCCTGCTAATGCTAGCTAAACGCTCATCCGTCAATTCCTCACATACGCGATAGAGGAGGGGGGTTAATGGCCGTTTCATTTTAATAACCAGCAGCTGCTGCTTTGTGGAAATTACTCACCAGGCCCCACCAGAGCGCATCTGCATATGTATCGAAGTGCTCGTTTTCTCCTTTCTCGGCCAAGTACACCAGGAAAGAGGCCAGAATGAGGCACAGGAAGCCAATGTACCAAGCAGTGATCAACTCCTGCAAGAGAGTTAAGGAACAGACTTGAAGGTTGTATTTTCATACTATGCATTTCCAACATACGGTAGCTCTGAATGTAGAGCTGGGGTTCAACCCTCAACATCCCCCAAGTCTGTGGTGTTCAGCTCTGGGGCTTGGTTTCAAGATTCTTAGTAGAAGTGTTACAGTTGTGCTTAGTCACTCCAAATAGATCAGGTCCCAGTGTGCTAGCAGCAGTATAAACACAGAAGCAGAGGCAGTCCCTGCCCTGGAGCACTGACGATCTGGGTAGGTAAGACAAGGTGGGACACGGGAAGTATTATTCTCCCAATTTGGAAGATGAGGAATGGAGACTCCAGACATTAAGGCTCAAAGGTATTTAGACGCCCAATTCAAACTGATTTCTAAGTGGCTTTGAGGTTCTGGGCCAGAGAGACTTCCCTGAGGACACATTGAGAGAATGTTAGAGAAGAGAACTGAACCTAGATCTCCTGGGTCACAGTCCAGTGGTCTAAACACATCACTCGCAGAACGGAGGCCACCTACAACGTTTGAATACGAATCTGGATCTTATCCCCAAATTTCAGGGGTGTTTGGATCCCAGGATTGGACTGTGGCCTTACCAGTGCTAGAAACTTTGTAATACTGAACTGGTATGATCAAGCTTCTTAAAAAGCTGGAGCAGACATAACAAGCTGAGTAGCAATAGCCATCTAACCTTATTGGAACCTTCATTATTTCCTACTTGTCTTGGAAAAATGCCGCTACAGGTTGAACCTCTCTGATCCGGGACCGGCAACATCTGTGGTCCAGCAGAACGTTGTTAGGCCAAAGAGCCGCTGGACCAGAGAGCCCCGGCTAAGAGCAGCCGCAGGGCTGCAGCCCAGAGCAGCTGAGTCCCAGCGCAGCACAGCCCCAGGTGCCCTGGAGCAGCTAAGGCTGGCAGCTTTGGGGCAGTGGAGTCCCAGTTGCCCTGGGGCTGGCCAAGGAGCTGGAAGCCCAGTGGCCCGGGGGCAGGCAAGGCTGGCAATTTGCTGACAGATCTTGGGAGAGCCTGGAGTCTGTCAGCAGAAGGGCCGGTCTCCCTTGGTCTGGCAAACTTCCTTCCGGGACAGGTCGGGTCCCAGGAGTGCCGGACCAGGGAGGTCTGGCCTGTACTCAGATAGACATCCGTGTTTGACACAAGAGACCTTGGTCTAGCTCAAACTGTATAAACAACGGCAATTTGGATTTGTATGGCCTGGGCCTCAGGTCACATAGCGTTATGTGAACTAGGGATGCTAAAATGTGTTTAATCGAGTAAACATGTAACCGCTGAAAATTTCAGTAGTTACATGGTTACGTGAAGGGGGGAGAGGAAGGTGGCTCCCCCCGATACAGAGGCAGCAGCGTGGAGGAGGGTGGGGTGTCAGGAGCCGGCTTTTAAGCCAGCTCCCCGTGCATGCCAGGATCCTGCGTGAAACCATGAAGGTTAACCAGTGAGCCCAGGCTCGTCGGTTAACCGCACCCATGGTTACGCTTTCACATCCCGAGTGTGAACACTTCCTTGGGGTTGGATTCAGGTGGGATTTGTAACCCTGAAGTTTTGTGCAAAGGTTCACCCCCAAGTGGAAAACAGCAAGCTTCATTCACCAAAATAGAGCCCAAATTGGTGTTCAGTCTTCTGATGGAACCTGGATGGCGTCTGCAGCACATCAGCAAGCTGCTAGCTTTTGTATTGTCTCTGGTTTCCTTGGAAACACGTTGCAAGGCTCTAGGTTTAATGTGTTACCTGAACAGCGCAGCATCTAATGGTGCAGAATCAGAGGAGGCCACTTAATTTTCCTCTCTTATTTTTCTACATACAGCGCCAGAAAGAGGACATACTTGATCCACCCCTAAGGAAAAGGGCTCAAAAACCAAATCTGGTAAATCAGATACTAAGGTATCTCTTCAGCATATTAAATCACAGATGTAATAGGATGACCCGTGCTCTCCCACTTCCCCAGCCTCAGAACCACAACATGAGTGTTAAGAGTCCTTATTAGTTTGTTGAAGCCCCCTCAATCCACATTTCAGCAAACAGTAGAAGAAATGTAGCATGAACTATTTACGAGAGCATGGCAGAAGTAAATTATGCACCTTTGAATGGTCACATTCTTGGATGAAGTTAATACAGGTGCAGATGAACAAAACAAGGTAGATTAGGGTGGGTATTAATTTTTTATGGGGAGGTATGCCAAGAATTTGGTAAGTGATCAAGGTCCGCACTCCTCCATGGTATTAACGGGCAAAGGACGGGGTCTGGGGTGGAAGTTGAGTGCAGAAAGGAGCTTGGGGTAGGGGATTGGGGTGCAGGAGAAGTTGTAGGGTCTGAGAGGGAGTTTGGGAGAAGGATGGGGGTTGTGACCCAAGTCAGGGACTGGGGACAGGTTCCAGGAGGGGGATGAGTGCAGATGATTCTGACCCAGAGGAGAGGTGTAGGAGGGGTGCGGGGGAAGGGGTTGTGACCTATAGAGCTCTGCACAGATATGAGATTGGTAACCACATCCATAACTTCAAAAATGAGCGGCAGCTATCCGCATCCGTGGCTGCAGATACCTCTGGATATAGAGCAGATCTCCGCAAATTTGCAGGGTTCTAGATACAAAATTTGTACCCACATCCTCATCCACAACTGCAAAAATGAGCAAATGCCAGTGGATATAAAGGGGGTATCTGCGGATTTGCAGGGCTCTAGTGACCTGGGGCAGGAGTGCAGGGGGAGCTGCAGGGGGTTGTGTTGTGACCTAGGGCAGGGGATTGGGATGCAGAGGCTGGGAGGGGATAGGGGTGCAGGAGCGAGGGTGCAAAGGTTTGGGTTGTGACTTGGTGCAGAAGATTGAGGGGGGAGGGGCTAGGGTGCCAGATGCAGGCTCTGGCCAGGAGATGTTTACCTTAGGCAGCTCTCACAGGCAGGCTCCTTGCTGGCTGTGCTCCCATACGCCACTCAAAGCTCTACACTGCAGAACCCACAGCGCAGGGCAGTGGTCGACTCCCTGGGAGCTGCTGCACACCAGAAGCCGGCTTTTAAGCTGGCTCCCAGCACTCACTAGCTCCCACCTGCTGCCCCGCTCCTGGGGAGCCGGCTGCTGTCCCACACTGCTGCCTCAGAGGTAGTAGCACAGGGCAACAACCAGATCCCAGGAGCTAGTGTGCACCTGCGCCGGGAGACCTGATCCCAGCCTGGCTCCTGGCCCCGTTTCCAGCTCCAAGCTCTGCTCCCAGGCAGCTGTCTGCCTCCCTGTGCTGCGGGCTCGGATACAGAACCAACAGCACAGGGTGGCAGCCAGCGCCCCAGGACCAGGACTGGGAGCCGGACTATAACCATTACGGGAACTGGTAAGCTCATGCTTATTGGTTAACCGTTTAAACGGTTACCCTGTTGCATCCTGGTTAATCTACGTGTTAACGATTAGGAGGAGCACATGGTCAGGATGGTGGTATCTGGAAGTGGAGAAGCCTGAGGGGTAAATTTCCACACCTGCAGCCTCTTGGAATTACTGGTTGTATACAAAGCATCTGCAACATCCCCAGCCTGTAATCAGATTTATATTGGCCGCTGCCCAACACGGACAGTCCAGTTCTCCAGGTCTCACTCACCTTGCTGTGGGCATAGACCACAGACCCCAGCAGCTTCCAGGTGCCCCCTCTCCGGTCCATGCGTATCATGCGCAATATCTGCAGGAACCGCAAACTCCGGAGGGCAGAGGTGGCGAAGACATTCCCTTGGGATCCAGCCGCCAGCACAGCGATGGACGCAATCAGCACCATGATGTCTGCAAAGGAGAGGAAGAACTGTGTGGACCTCACACACCGACCATCACCTCCCCTCCATCTTTCCTACCTCTCTGGGCAATGAGACGCCAGGCCGGCACGACTCTAGGGTGAGTCCCTCCCCTCGGACTGGAAAGGACTCTTCACACATCACCTGGGTTCTAACCTTCCCTTATTTCGCTGGGGCAGTTTGGTGAAAAGAAATAACAGTTTGGGCACCTGGAATCTTCGCTACTGACTCCGTCGGTTCAGTGACGTGTGCTTCTTCCTCGTGCTAACCTCTAGACCAGCGTCTTATCCACACAGGCCCCCGAGTCTCATGCACCCCACTGGAATGCTCCATATTGGGCAGCCACATCCCTTAGCTGGCCTCCTGCACCCCTCTCGCCTCCCTCTTCTTTCCTAGCTACTGTGGCAGGGTCAGACCCACTCCTACGTCCCAGGCCCCTGCTCTGTCCACAAACCCCTAGTCTCACTTGCCCTTTCTAGCATTTGGGCTTCTGCCCCTTGGCTACATGAGCGCTGAGGCAGATGCCCTGCTGAGCCGGGGCTGAGTAACCAGTCCCCCTCAGTCACCGGCTGAGCCCTCAGGCCGCTGGGGGAAGGAAACCCAAACACTCCCTGTCAGAGCCCTTACCTTCCGGTCTATTCTGGCAGTGCTGATGTTCTGTTCTTCCGCTTCTCTATCCTTTTCCTTATCCGCTCTCACTTCCTTCCACCGCCTCCAAACTCCTCTTCCACTCTCCCCTCCCCTCCCCCACAGGGAAGGTTTTAAAGCCATCCCGTGGCAGCCTGAAATCAGCTCCCCTGGCCCTTAATTGATTTATAGCTGTCCTGTCTCAGCTGCCCCTGATTAGCCAGGGCAGTTGCTGTTTTTTTCAGAACTGCCTCGCTCCCCTTCCATCAAGCCCTTTAACCCGTCCGGTCACATCCTGTATTCAGGTTACTGCGTTGCATCCTTCTCCCTGCCACCTGCAAAGCTGGGGATACGGTAACAAAGGTTCTGACAGGTATAAAGTGATCACGGGCTGACTGGAATAGGGAGGGAGAGCGAAAGAAACATGGGCCACATGTCTGTCACATCCTATGGTGGAAGTACATGGTCATGCACCATGAATATTAACCCACACAGCATGACTCAGTGCACGGTTGAATCCAATTCACATTCCTCTTCCCCTCACACCTCCTCCACCCAGAGGAAAGTTGCCAAGTTTCCACAGACTGAATTCTGGCTTGATGCACGATGCACCCTTTCTAGCCTGGAATAAGCCTCTCCAAAGAGCATGAGCAGAGGTATCAGGATCTTCTGCAGCTCCATGGAGCAATGTGCTGCTGCTGCCGCCGAGGCCCACCTTGAAACGGATGCTCCCACTCATTCAGGAAAACCTAATGGGTTCTGTTTTGGAAAGGCCTGTTTCAAGGGGATTTTTGGGGGAGTGCTAGAGATGGGCCCAAAGTAAAAGCCTTGGTCTCAATACCCCTGGGCTTTGGGGGAGGGGTCCAAAAACCTTCCCTCAGATCTCTACATGAATTCGGTAAATGCCCGTAGCTTTATAAAGGGCTACCACAAAACTCTGTGATCCACAGCTCTCTCATGTCAAAGAAGGGTCCAGATCCAAACATGGCTTGAGCGCACCTTTAGAAAGCCCCAGGGAAAAAAATACATCCCTTCTCTTCTGGGCCACCTCTGACCCCTCCTCGCCATATTACAAATCACTGCTTTCCACAGAGACGGCCCCTTCCACCACAGGATCTCAAAGAACTTTACAGTCGATAATTAATTAAGGTTTATAACTCCCTTGTGAGACAGACAATTACTGTAGCATCAGTTTCATGGGAAGGCAAACGGAGACACCGAATGACTTGTCAGTGAATCAGGGGCAAAGACAGATACGGAACCCCCAGGTTCTAACGTCTCCACTCACAGGAGACACTGGAGGCCTGATTCTGAGCTACACTTTTATTATTGCATCCTTCTCTCACCCATGTTGGCACACAGGGAAGAAGCCAGTCTCCTCCCTCCCTCTGCTGCTTCCATCTGCTCCACGGTGTTGAGATCAGCAGTTCTGCTTTCCCTGCTAAGATTTCTCTCAGGCGTCCTGGTTCCTCACACCACTTGGTTTTCACTTGTCAGCTTCATGGGGGAGTCTGTGTGTTGGCATCTGGAGTACATGCCCCAGATATGTCCAATGCTTCCTTCTAAGTCTGGTGGAGATCACATGCAGATGGATTATTTCTCAGATATCTTTGTGGATGGCTGTGATGGGGTAGAGTAGGCCCTGAGCCATTCCCTTCCCCCCCCCTCCTCCCGCTGAAGGCCTTGCGGTCCTATCACATCCAGTACCAGAAAGGCAATAGAGAAGTCCTCCAAGCAGGCTAGAGTGGCTGCAGGGGATGCAGCCAATCAAAGGCCAGGAAGCTCATATAAAAGAGAGCTGCAGCAGAGCCAGGGAGTTCCTCTTTGACGCTCAGGGTGTGCAGGCTGGGTGAATGGTTGTCTGAGAGAGCTGCAGTACCATGGACAGCTCACTATGGAGCGCTTAGTGATGACTGCACTATGCTGGGACTGGAGATAAAGCCCTAAGGTAAGAGCAAAGATGCTGCCTCCAGCTCAGCGGGCATCACTCTATTCCAGGGTGGGACCAGAGAGCGGAACACTACAGAGGGCAAAGAGATGCCCTCTGTTAGATGGGTATCCCAGAATGGGGTTGTTGACTTTGACACACAGGCGATACGTGCAACTCGGCCGGAGGGCTGAGTCACCGAAGATCCTCCATACCAGAGAATGCAGGCACATGCACTCAGCTAAGGAGGTGTTCGTGAGAGGTAATTACAATCCCATTACAGTGGCAAAGTCACTTCATCATATGGCCTGAATCTTTCCTAGCCATTTGTTTTCGAAGGCATCTAGGGGTATGTCTAGATTACATGGCTCCGTCGATGTAATCTACCACACGCCACAGTCAACAATGGAAGCCTTTGTCGACCGCCCCAGTAAACCTCATTCCACGAGGCATAACGGAGTGGTCGACAAGGGCTTCCCTTGTTGACCGCGGCGCGTCCAGATTACCGCACTGTGCCACCAAATAGCTGATCGGCACAGTGTGGCGGCCATTTTGATTTAAATAAAGCGGCGATTATTTAAATCGCCGCTTCATTTCCCTATGTCTAGTAAACTCATCTACATGGCTTCGTCAATGGAGCCATGTAGTCTAGACATACCCTAGGTTTCTATCTAGCATTATAATACATCTCCAGCTCTCACAGCTGTATGTTGGCTTTGAGATCATGTTTGAGCTGAAAATCCTCCATTGTGTTGTGACGATGTCTAGCTTTGATCTCCAGGACTGCTACGTTAAGTGAATGCTGCGGGTGCTTTTCCTAACCTTGACATCATGTCTTTCTTAAGGTCTCCACTGACTCGCATTGTGCTGCTCAGGTAACTGACCTGTTCTACTTCCTTGGTGCTTTTGCCTTCTGATAGAACGTTACTGCTGGACGACTGGGTTTCAAGGATACCGGTTTTGGTGTCACTGATTTTGAGCCCTGCTGTGAGTTCTGGTTTTGCCAAGAATTCTGTCTTTGTTGTAGCTTTTTTTTTTTTTTTTTTTTTTTTTGCGGGGGAGGGGGAGAGGTGTCGTGGAATCGCAGGATACCAACGGAAAAACCCAGCTCTTCTAAGTGTTTGCCATCTACTCATCCAAGTCCCGTGTTTGTGTTGCTAATGCCATTCTTCACTCTACACTACAGCAATGCAGCATTGATCAAATTGAACCCTGTTTCCCACTAGGGATGTGAAAGGTTAACTGGTAAACATCACCTTTAATGGGTGATGCTTAACAGATCTAGTTAACAGGTAGGAACTGAAACAGCCCTGCAGGGACCCACCGCAGATGTCCAGAGTAGCCTCTGTCCCTGGCGGGCCGGGGCACGCCTCAAGTAGGGGCTGCTACGGACAGCCCACCCATCCTCCCTTTAATGGATTAACTGGTTAATGTTTAACCAGTGAACCGATTCAACAGGATTCCACAGCCCTATTTCCCACCTGCATCCACGCTGCCCCATTCTGTTCTCTGGCTTTTCACCCTTCCGGTGCTCTTTGCACTGCAGAATGCAGCCTTTCTGTAAGGCTGAAATCGATTCCACAATGTTTGTCTACGCAGGCTCGCCGGGGAGGGGGAGAGGTGTCGTGGAATCGCAGGATACCAACGGAAAAACCCAGCTCTTCTAAGTGTTTGCCATCTACTCATCCAAGTCCCGTGTTTGTGTTGCTAATGCCATTCTTCACTCTACACTACAGCAATGCAGCATTGATCAAATTGAACCCTGTTTCCCACTAGGGATGTGAAAGGTTAACTGGTAAACATCACCTTTAATGGGTGATGCTTAACAGATCTAGTTAACAGGTAGGAACTGAAACAGCCCTGCAGGGACCCACCGCAGGGGCAGCCTCTGTCCCTGGCGGGCCGGGGCACGCCTCAAGTAGGGGCTGCTACGGACAGCCCACCCATCCTCCCTTTAATGGATTAACTGGTTAATGTTTAACCAGTGAACCGATTCAACAGGATTCCACAGCCCTATTTCCCACCTGCATCCACGCTGCCCCATTCTGTTCTCTGGCTTTTCACCCTTCCGGTGCTCTTTGCACTGCAGAACGCAGCCTTTCTGTAAGGCTGAAATCGATTCCACAATGTTTGTCTATGCAGGCTCGCCAATGCCTTAGGAGAACTACTGAGATTGATGATCCAGGGAGGCTGCCGTTCTAGGCGCGGTTCTTTGGTGATCCTTAGTGTGAATCTCTGATCTACCCAAGGTCATGTGGGCCTGAATCCAGCCTGCTCTCGCCTCTGCTTGGCATCCAGAGCCTCTTTCATCCTTGTAGCATCACACTACAGAGGGCATAAGGAGTCAGGAGTATTCTCTGCTGAGCAGCCCCTGTTACTGGCCTGGCAGCCTGGTTTCGTTTCGATAGCCATGGAGTTTGGGCTCACTTCCATGTTGTTGTTTTAGGAGGCGAGGCGACTGGCCTTTATCTGAGCTCGGCAGCCACAGCCAAGTTCACTTTATGCCTTTCTAAGTTTACTTAAGACTGGCCAGGGTTTGGCACGAGCCCAGAACATGAAGATCGCAAAGGTGGGTTGCAACCATTTTTGGCCCCTCTTCTGTCCCTGCTCCATTCATGAGATAGAATAGCTCAGAATCAGACCCAGACAATAAGCCATGGCGGGCTTATTGTCCTTTAGCCTCCTTGTAAGGCCTGTACGCCAGTACCAAGCGTTCCTCCCAGGGTGGCCTTTGGACCACTAATCAGACAGCTCCCCATGACCCTGGGACCCTGGCAGCAGGACTGGCAGGGCTCAAGTGCCCGTCTGAAAAGCTTGTTCGGATACCACCCAAGAGAAAGAACTTGGAGTCACTGTGGCTAGTTCTCGGAAAACATCCATTCAATGTGCAGCGGCAGTCAAAAAAGCAAACAGAATGTTAGGAATCATTAGTGGGGGAGGTCTAGGTTGGATATTAGGAAAAACTATTTCACTAGGAGGGTGGTGAAGCACTGGAATGGGTTACCTGGGAGGAAGGGGGTGTGGAATCTCCATCCCTAGAGGTTTTTAAGTCTCAGCTTGACAAAGCCCTGGCTGGGTTGATTTAGTTGGGATTGGTCCTGCCTAGAGCAGGGGGCTGGACTCGATGACCTCCTGAGGTCTCTTCCAGCCCTAGGATTCTATGATTTAAAAAGGGAAAGGGAATAAAACAGAGACTTATTGCCTCTGTATAAATCCACGGTACGCCTACTTCTTGAATACTGTGTACAGATGTGGCCACCTCATCTCAAAAAAGATACCTTGGCTTTGGAAAAAGTTCAGAAAAGGCCAACACAAATTATTAGGGGTTTGGAACAGCTGCCATATGAGGAGATATTTAAAAAGACTGGGTCTTTTCAGCCTGGAAAAGAGGCGACTGAGGGGGGATAGGATATGGGTCTACAAAATAATGACTGGTGTGGACAAAGTGAATAAGGAAAAGTTATTTACTTGTTCCCATAAGAACTAGGAGTTACCAAATAAAATCAATAGGTAGCAGATTTAAAAGGAACAAAAGGAAGTCTTTCTTCACACAATGGACAGTCAACCTGTGGAACTCCTTGCCACAGGATGTTGAGAAGACCAGAGTTTAACATAGTTCAAAAAGAACTAGATACATTCATGGAAGTTAGGCCCATCAGTGCTTATTAGCCAGGATGGGTAGGAATGGTGTCCCCAGCCTCTGTTTGTCAGAGGCTGGGAATGGGTGACATGGGAGGGATCGTTTGAGGACTCCCTGTTCTGTTCACTCCCTCTGGGGCACCTGGCATTGGCCACTGTGGGAAGACAGGATACTGGGCTGGACAGACTTTTGGTGTGATCCAGAATGGCCGTTCTTATGGATAACATTTATACCTTCCCCCAAAGTACAGCCAGTTCAGCTGTCTACCGCCAGGGCCTTATCCCACTCATTGTGTTCAATCAGCAGTGGCTGTTACTGCCCATCGCACCTGCTCCGGGAGGCAATTCTTACCGATGACGCAGAAGGGTTTGCGGGCAAATTTTAACCTTCCCCTCCAGCCGCGGTATCGACAGCAGCAGCCTGCGGCCCAGATTCTCACAAAGTATTCCACACCAAACACCACGATGGTGACTATTTCCTGCAGGGGAGACAACATAATGAGTCCAAGGCGGCGGCAGGGGAAAGAAAGTGCTGCAGATTCAATGCAGAGGCTGGAACAGAAGCTCGTTTTGTTCCTCGCTGTGACAGCCCTTGCCGAGGGGAATTCTGACTCTGACCAAAAAAAGAGACTCGAGCCACAGAACCGGGATCTGAATCTTGAGTTCTAACCACTCCAAAGAGAGGAGATTGGGATGCAAGATCAAGATAGAGACTAATTGCTAAAGGCAAGTCTAGATCCACAAGTAGTTCCCAACTACCTCCAAAATTTGGGGGAGCGGGTGGCTTTTATGGGGCATGGGATGCTTTGGGTCAAGTTCATCTCTATTCTGAAAACTTCTCTCTCATTACAAATGTAACCGAGACCACTGAAAAGGGAGAGCAATGTCTGCTACACAGCCTTAGCTAAGAGGCAACTGGCGCTTAGCTCATGCAATAAAACACGAGTGGGCAAATAGCAGTGATCCGGTCTGCCAAAGTTAGCTCCTGGTGGGCCCCCACTGCTATATCTACCTGCACTGACACAGGTACTGCTGATCACGGCTCCCATTGGCCACGGATCACTGTTCCCAGCCAATTGGAACTGCAGGAAGAGATGTCCCGGTCCACACTGCTTCCTGCCACTTCCGTTGGCCGGGAACTACAATTTGCAGCCAACAGGAGCTGCGATCGCCGGTACCTGCAGCCGTGTTGGTAAATATAGCCGTAGTCTGCCAGGGGCTAACCCTGGCAAACCACCACCATGTCACTGCTCACCCCGGCAGCAGAGGCACATGATTTTGCCCCAAAGGCCCCAGTTCAATCCCTCCTACTGACGACCAAGGTCCATTGGCTTTACACAAGTTTGATCTGTCCCTTGGCAAGACAGTTTTACCTCTATAAGGGGACAACAGGTGAGCTCTGTCCCAGAGAGGATAGTTCCCTATTTTTGTCCCTATTGATAGATTTCAGGACCCGAGGGACATGGGGGGCAAAAGAGAATGATGAGCAAGAATGCTTTAAAAGTTCATTCCCGGGGGCACTAAGAAATTTTGAAACAGCTGGAGACAAGGGGAGCAGCTGGAGGCATCTAAAATGTGGGAGCCTGGCTCCTTGGAAAATCCGGCCCAACTGTCAGCACTGAGCAATTCAACATCCGGCCCTAGGCTCATTGGGAAGTCTGGGCCTACGTTCTTCTGTGTTTATATGTATGTGTCTGTGAACTCTAATGGGCTAACCCAAACGGCTTGAAAATCCGCACCAGTCTCGAGTGAGCGCCTACCCTGTTCCAACAGCCCTGTTCCAACAGCACTCTGCCTCGCCAGCTGCTTTTCTTCCCACAAACGAAGAAACTGAGGGCCTGGACCTACTGCACTCCACAGCTCTGCTTGCTGCCAGTCTGTTTTGTTCTCTCCGGTTTCTTCACTCACCGTGTTCACCTCCCGCAGGCTGACGCTGAGTCCGCCAGGGCTCTCATTAAGCTTTCACTAGTTTCTGGTATCTGGTTGATGTGCGGAGTGGGAGTGGAGGAAGGGAAAGGCAAAGACAGGGAAATGCAATGCATTCTGGGAGCCTTATGAAGTAAGCATCTGTGCCCGACAGCAATTCTGCTAGCTATCACTCAGCATGTTCCCAGAAGCCACTTTGTCAGTGTAAGGAACGCCAAGCTGTTTAAGTAGTAAAACCATTCGGCATTATGTCAGCTTGGATAAATGCAGAAACGTATAGCATAGGGAATGGAAGCAACCACCTAGCTCGATTCTGCCGTAGCACAACCTCGGCTTAGCCACTTAGGACCACCTTTTTCAAGGGGCATCAAACCAGCTTCTACATGCAGGCCAGCAATGCTGCCGGATTTTGCAATTGCAAAGAAACACAAACACACACACGGAACACACAGTAGTTCAGGTTTTTAAAGTCAGCTTGGAGATTGTGGGCTACATGCGTTCCTTCTTTACACTGGGGCAAATCCAGATGACTTCAGATTTACACCCAGTGTCAATCAAGATTGATTTCGGCCCTGTGAGCACAGGCTAAAGGCAATGCTATTGTTACCTAGATCTGAAACAGATAAGCAAATTAGAAAGGATTCAAAATGAGCCAGCTGGCACCAGGAGCTAATACATCATCTTAGATTTGGAGTCATATTTGTTTTTCGTCTTAAGAGAAAGCAGCTATTGCTGGATGTTCAGAATTTTTTACAGGTTAATACAAACACTATTCTTACCAAGGGGTGTTAGGTACTTGGTTTTAATGATTTTCATAGCTATGGATTGGAAAGCATGTCAAATCCAGACAAGCATTTGCACAGAGAGAAAATATTTATCCCTCATTAGAAGGTTGACTCTCTCCATGCGCCATGTCTCGGCCAAGTTCTCCAACATAGGGTCTATCTATACTTGCACTTGATCGATAAAACTTTTGTTGTGTGTGGGTGCTTAAAAAAAGCCATGAGTTTTGGCACAGCGAGTGAAAGTGTGAATGCTGCTTTGTCTGCAGGAGCACTCTCCTCCCAACAAAGTGAAACCCCCCTTGTAGGAGGTGGAAGTGTTTTGTCCACAAAAGTGCTGAGAGAAAGCCTTCACACAAAGCTCACTTTTAGCTTTGTTGCTAAAAGCAGCGTAGTGTAGATATAAGCATAGTCTCTGATCCATCCTTCTTAAATATTACAGCTCAAATGCCTGACATGTTTGACAATACCAATATTGTTTGTTTCTTGCTCCTACTCCATCTCCCCTTTGCATCTCCCAACTTACCAGTATGTAAAGGGCCCCTTCAGAGCTATTCTGATACTCATCGATGGTTGAAAAGACGGATAGTACCAGGCAGGAGAAAACTAGGAGAAAACTGTATAACACAAAGAAAAATAATGACATCTTCAGAGTTTACATTTTGAAAAGTTCATCAATCTATTTAGCCTATGTCCCATTTTCAAACATTCCAGATAATGCTATTTGAACAGAACTGTCCCTCTTTATAAAAGTGGCCACTAACCGATTGGCGGTGGAATATTTGACCTGTGTTCCCCAGGCATCCTAAAACGGATAAGTCACTGAGGAAAGCCCATAGTTTGTTGCACGCATGCAATCTGAGCGGAATATGACTCCACAAAATACGATCACAGCTCTTGTTTAGCAGCTGTACAAAAGTGTGCGCACTGTGTCATTTCCCGTTGCTTCCAATTACTTGACCAAATGAAATTGGAGTTTTGATAGCAACTGCATGGGAAATAACTCTGAAATAAGTGCCCATTATCACTGTAGAACCAAGGCAACTATATTTCCATAGTAATTATATACTCTTTCACGATTTCTCAGTTATTATATTACTCACCCAATAATTCAAAATCTCTGCCATGTCACATGCTGTTTTCAGCTCTCCAAAGAGAACTTTGGTTTAGGAAACAAAAAGAAATGACCTCTGATTAATTCAATTTTAGGCCAAATGAGCCTGGGCTGAAGGATAAATTTGGCTCTTAGGGATTTAATTTTGTTCTCAGTAATGCCAACATAGATCCAGTTTCATTCCACTGAAATGAATGGAATAACTCCAGATTTACACCAGCCGCAAGGAGAGCAGACTACAGTCCTCAATCTCTCTCTGCATAGCTCAATATTTATAGGTTTTGGTGCATTGGTTTTGGGTGGAACTGTGGAATGAACAGTCAAAATTTTCACTCAGCACTTGAACTGAAATTCAAATCTCTCTTCTCCCTCCCCCATACACATTTGCACAGCAGCCAAAAGCAAACAAGTGTTAGAAGGCACACAATACTACTGAAAATAATATAATACCATTACTTAATTCAACTGTACACCCTGACTGAGAACACTATGTTCAGGTCCAAGCATCCCAAGCAAAATAGGCACAGTAGAAACAGAAGTGGTCAAGAGATGGGGGACAAAAATATCAATGGCATGAAAAGACCGCCAACGCCTGCAAAAGATTATAGCTACTTAGTTTAGAGAGGAGGTGAAGGGATGACATAGAGTATAGGATATAAACAGAGTATAGGATAAGAAAAAGTAAGCCAGGTGTCCCTATTTACACTTTTCCAGATCCCTAGGAGAAGGGGCTATGCAATTAAACCGAATTGCAACTAATTTAAGACCGATGGCGATTATTATTAAGATGATTCAAATTTAAGCTGTGGAATGCATAGTCACATGATATTACCAAGGCCAGCAGCTTTATAGGAGTCAACTAAATATTAATTTATATATGCAAAAATGGGAGCATACATTTAAATTAATCAAGATAAAAATATAAGGGGCATCATTCCTCATAGATCAGGGCTCAAGCAAATCAATAACTGAGGAGTGCCATGAAGAAATTTTCCTAGGACAGATTATTTTATAATTGTTCATTACTCTGGATTCTGAAACATCTGGTCTTGGCCACCACCAGAGATGGAATATTCTATCTACCTGGTTCTCTACTGCTAATAGCATCTGAGCGCCTCCTGTTATGAAGGGTGAATATTGGATTCCACATTGGCAGCTCTAATATCGTAAGAACCTATGTTCCAAGGATGGAAAAGGATTCACCCTTCCTATCTTCCACAAATAGCCTTCCAGTAACATTAAAGGGAACCACGTGACTACATCCTTGCAGGTCTCACTGACTATTTAACACTGAATCTTACTTTAGCACACATCTCTTTCTCAGTTGCTTTTCACTGGGGAGCGAACTGTCTGTGAAAATGAAGACTTAATCTTGTTGTCTGGCAGCAGACTTGGTGCCATGCCTCAGGGAGGAGAGAGAGGAGAAAAGTACTAGATTAACGATGGAGAAACTTTGTCCTAGAAGTGTCACAATCCCACTGATTAACCCCACTGATACAGCCCCCACAAACACCAGAGAAACTATAGGGATGGGAGAGCTAAAAGGCCATGGGGACAAAATACACAATCCACTTTCAGGCTAAAACATTAGCAAGTTGCTAATAATTCAAAGGCATTTAATGCAACATCCTGCCTCGTATGGTCAATGCCAGTGGTGGGCAGCCTGTGGGAAGAACCTCATGCGGCCCATCGCGGTTCTGTGCATGGCCCATAAGGGCTTTTTGCAACATGCAAGGTTGCCAGAGGCTGCTGGTTTCTAGCTGCGTATTTTTTTCCTACTGGTATTATTAAAGTGACACACACATAAAGCAAGACCACATGAAGAGAGGTGCGTGCTGACTGCACACAATATTGACAGTGAGACCCATGTGCTCCTCCTGCATCCAATCACAGCGCTGCTACGGTTCAATCGGCACAGTCCACAAATGCTCGATACGCAAGCACAGTCAGCAACACTACTCTATCCCAGGAAACCAGCTTGGCTATGACAATCTTGCAGCCCACTGAGATGAAGGAGGGCCTCCCATCCAGCCCACTCAGCAACCTACATCGCCTATCACTGGTCAATGCACATGGGCAACTCAGCACTGACGCAGAGACTACAAATACCCGCCAGGCTTTTTAAGAGACAATTTCACCATGCCCTGCCTTTTGGACTTTCCCTGTGGCCGTTCTTTCCTCTCTGCAACCCCTCGAGGATGGTAAACGTGTGGCATGCAAATGACCCACCACAACAGAGCAGGTAAAAAAAATGCTGCATCTTCCGGCAGCAGCCACTTCCCAAAGAGCTATCAGTAGGAGAACTCCTCATCAGACACAGTTTTTGTAGGCCACCCTCCTTTTTTTGCATGCACTGAAATTTTGTTTGCCCGGCAGGCACTGCATTGTAGCTGGATAAAGCATCATATATTTAGCTATCTACGGAAACGACTGATGTTGTTATTATGATTTCTTCGTATTGCAACAGAGCCTAGCAACGTCCATCACAGAGCAATGTTCACTATGGTAGGTGATGTACAGATATGTAACAAATAGGGATGTGAATATTTAACAGGTTAACCAGTGGGGGCTGGAGCAGCCCTCCGCCCACTGCAGGCAGGGGTCTGCTGTGGGTGGGACGGAGAAGCCCCCATTTGCAGTGGGCCAGCCCAGACGCACCGAGGGTAGGGGTGCTCCAGTCCAGTCATAGAGGAGGAGGGGTGCTCCAAACCAGCCCCCTCCCTGCTAGCCCGTTTAATCGGTTAACCAATTAAATAGGATTTTACATCCCTAGTAACAAGGAAGACAGGCCTTGCCCTGGAGAGCTTGCCATCTGAATGACAGACTGGACTCAAAAATGGGATGAAACAGACATGCTGAGTGGGGGAAGATGAGGCAACAATAAAAAGAATGTTGCAGAAACGATACCCCCACCAGTAGCTTTCCATGTAGAGACGAGAAGTGAAAAATTATTGTGAAAATACATCGCTCAAAATAATTCTCAGAGGATTTTTTATCATGGTAAGGAATAGTTAGTAAGAACATGACTCAGTAGAGTCCAGCATCTTTCTCTGCACAAGCTTAACTCATTTTACAAACACTGATGAGTTAACTGTCTGTGTGACAAAAGGGTAGCGTTATTGCCCATTTGCAGGGGGTAAACTGAGGTACGCTGGAGTTTTTGGGATGGTCACACAGCAACATCTCTAAAAATACTACCCAAAAGTCCTACATCAAAATCCAAGCCTGTAACTGCTAGAGATTATTTTCCCCTTAAACTCAAATCTTCAATGAATGTTAATCTGCAAATATTAAAGACCGCTATTTGTACCTAACACAGTGGTTGGCCCCTTAGCCTCTACCATAAGGAGCACAATGAATTAATGTACTGATTAATTAACAAATGTAAAACAGCATTTTGGGCACAGTCTAGAAATGCCAAAACCCAGGGCAAAATTCCCATTTACTTTAATAAGACCTGGCTTTGGTCTTTTGAGTCTCAATTAGCCTAGCCAAAGAGATCTCTCTGGACTATGGAACATTCAAGGGCGGAGGTTAAGAAATCGCAGACACAGTCCTGTCAATAAAACAGTTTCGTGATTCATCCTACCGCCCTCACGTGCACGGCAAATGACACAGAGGATCTTTGTCGTCCCTCCGGGAGAAAGCAAAGATTAATATCCCAAATGGAGAATCACAGCTGATGACGTCTTAGCTGGAGAAGACGGCGGCTATGTTTTCATTTGCACTGTGAACACGAAGGGCTGACTGCACTGGCTCTAGCAAGGCACAATAGCAGTGGGCATTGTACAAGCATCTTTTGGTGCTGTCCAGAACTCTCAGCCCTGACCTAGAACACAACCTATTTAACTCAGTCCCATACCCCCTCCCCCCTCTGAGTAAAGAACCCTGGCCATGCACTGCTGAATAGTGGCCCACCAACCACTAGAGGCTAGGACAAGATCATCAGTGAACTCATCCCTGGGATAACCTCCTTGACTTCACCAGCCTACTTCCCTTTTCAATGTGTTTGGAATGGGGGTGCAGATCTCTCAGCTCAGTGGACTAGCTCTGTGCACCACTCACTCCATCCACTCGCTCCGTTGCTTTCCATGAAAACGATGAGTGGGATTTTCAAAGTACCCTGATGATTTAAGACAGCCTGGATGGCCCAGTGGTTGGGCTCTAGCCTAGGTCTTGAGAGCTCTAGGTTTTAGTCCCTGCTCTGCCACTGACTTCCCACGTGACCTTAACTAAGTGCCTTAGCCTGTCTGTGACTCAGTTCCCCATCTGGAAAATGAAGACAATCGCATCATTCTATATCCCAGGAGCATCATGTGGATCAATACATGAAAGACCACAAGGGGCTCTCGTGATGCGACTAGCTAAGGTTGACAGACCTCGCCTAAGCTTTCACTGGGACTTAACGTGCAATTAAGCACTTCTGAAAATCTAGTCCCATCTGGATTCTCTGAGATAGGCAGTAATGAGATAAGGAGCATTTCACACTCAGGACAGGTCTAC